AATACAGGGTGCACCCTGCTTCCTTACAACTGCAAGCCATGCCTCTGTCCTCTGCAGCAGTGTCTGATCTGTCCACTTCCTGTCTCTTTCCTTGGCATCATCAACAGCTACATCTTCTGCGCCTGCTCTTCTGCCCCAAGCTACACACTTCTCCTATATGTTTGTTTCATTTAGTCTTTTGCTGAAAGAATGCCCAAGAGTAACACACGTGACTGGTGGTACACATGTGTAATCCCAATGCCAGGGAAGTGAAGACAGAGGACCCCAGCCTAGCCTAGGAGGCAAGCTCTAGGTCAGTGAGAAATCCTGGGCGCGCGCGAGCGCACACACACACAAACATCTGAAAGTATGAATTAAAATGCAAATGTAGAACATAGTACTCATTGTTATGGCTTATTATCGTTAGTTTAGACTACAGGAATAGGAATAACAACACAGCGTCTGAAGAGAACTGCTCTCCCTAATGAGCTCTCATCACTGGTCTATTCACCACGCTTACCACTTGACACATGTTACAGCACATATCCATCACAGACAGCCACAGCAACTGGAGCCAGCACACATTACACCCCTACTTCACATTCAGGAAAACAGAGACTTAGAAAGCTTAAGAAGTTAACTGGATACTACATGAACCATAATTCAACTGCAATTTGTTGGATCCAAACTCCATAGTCACCATCTTCCAATTAGCAAAAATTAAAAATCAGCAGCTTAAGAAAGAGCAACTTAAATTTAGCTCTGGTTGGAAAAGGAAGTACAGTTTCCACCTTTTATTAAACTCTAAAGCTCATGTTCATGACATGGCCGAGAATCACCATTTAAGTTGATGTTTGTTATACACACCCACAGTCTTGGAACTCAGGAGACTTGAGGCTAGAGTTTTCGTTTGTTTGTTTGTTTGTTTGTTTTATCAACTTGATATAAAGCCATGGTCATCTGGGAAAAAGGAGCCTCAGTTTGGAAAATGCCTCCATCATCTGGCTTGCAGGCCAAGTCTGTGGGACATTTTCTTGATTAATGGTTGATGTGGAAGGTCCCAGCCCTCTGGGGGACAGTGCTACCCTCGGTAGGTGGTCTGGGGTTATATAAGGAAGGCTGAAGCAAACAGTGAGGAGCAAGCCAGTAAGAGGAGTTCCTCCATGGTACCTGCTTTAATCTGCCTCTGGGGTCCTGCCATGAATCCCTGCCCTGACTCCTGCCACAACAGACTGCGTGCGGCACAGACATATCCGCCAAAGAAGCTCTTTCCTCTGTCACGGTGTTTATCAAAGCAATAGAGCAAACTAAGACACCGAGCTACATAGTAAAATCTTATCTAAAATAAATAAATACAAGCCCGACAAAAATAGTAAGTATTTCCAGTGACCAGTTAGCATGAAATACAGAAATGACCGCTGTGCAGTCAGCCACTGATTAATACCTACTGTGCCCTCCACTGTTAGAGGCACTGGGCTGCTAGGAGAGGGAACAAAGCAGGCAGAAGGAAATCCACAGGCGTCACTTAAGTATCTGTTAGACATCCAGTATTTACTCAGAACAAGGCAGATTATCTGCAAGCAAGCAAGGCTCTGTGAGTAAGGAAATAGCTGAGGCAGTTGAGTTGGCTAGGCTACAGATAACCACCTCCTCCTCCAGAAGAGCGCTGCCACCGGCACTGGAGGAGACCAGAGGTGAGAATGCTGACTGGAGACCAAATGTTACGCCGGCACACAGATTTGGTTGGAAAAGGACAAAACAGGACCAGAAGTCCATCCGCCTTCAGGCTCTCATGCACAATGACCACACTCTGGCCTCTGAGGCTGGGCTGACACAGCAGCTTGCTGCAGTCAGTACAGGTGGAAACCATGCTACAAGGTAGCACAGATAACCGAGAGCAGGCGACCCAAAAGAAGAGGTAGCTGTCTGATGTAGCATCTAGCTACTGAAAGCTGGTTCTCAAGGAGGAAGCAGAGCCACAAAAGTCAGGAACAACAGGGCAGGTCTGCCTGGAAAACTCCAGTCTCTTATGAACTACAGTTCAGAAGAGCAAAAGTAAAGCACAGAATGTACAGAGAGCCAACAGGCTGGAGCTGCCTGCTCAGCGCTGGGGCGGGTGCTGAGTGCGGACACACCACAGGACGCTCCAGAGCAGGTCCTCCAGAGCCTGTGGAAGACACGGGCTTCGAAGCCAGGCAGGCTGCATTCAAACGCTTGTGCAATTCCTCTGGCTATGTGACCTGGAACACATTATTTTCTAAGGCTCTTTAATTCCTTCACAAGTCAAACTGAAACACGAGCTGCTGTTAGACCCAAGTGGCACAGGCAGTGGTGTTGCAGGAATATCATCCCAGCTTAATGAACCGAAATCAATGGCTAGTTCCACAACTGCAGAGTTAAAGCTTGACCTGCAACGTGGTACCAGATCGGTGCCTCAGAGGCAAAGAGACCAGTAGAACAGAAGGGAAAGCCGCCACAATTCCATACACTGAGAGAGTGCAGAGGTTTCGTGTACAGCTTAGGTGGGATGGCTGACCATGAGGGAAAGCCTGATTGCATTCTGCATGTGCCCAGCAGTTGTTTTCCATCTTCTCCTCATCATATATCATGACTCAGTGTACGCTAATCTACACTACAGGAAAAGAGTATTCTGCCCTGGCTTATTGCATTTACTACAGCAGAGAATGAAATCAGGTCACCCCAACGGCCAATGTCATCAACTCAAAGGCAGTGTAACTTATATGCAAAACATCAGTCAGAAGACAGAAAGGAACAAGGTGGGGATGATGACTTTACTCAGATATATTTGAAAACATCATATGGTATAAAGTAAGTATTAAAACTAAGTAACATAGGTGAAACATGGAATATAATTGATTGCTCCACCAAAACACACTAAGGTATGAAAGACTGTTAAAGAAAAATACTCATAGGAGACAGAATGAAGTAGTAGAGAAATAGATACCATTATTTTCTAGAAAAAGATAGAGAATGAGTCACTGAGGAATGTTAAGTGGTAAAGGCAGTCATGTATGTTCTTTAATTCTTCAGCATTCTCTAGTGTCTGAGCTGTTCTCAGTGGCTACACATAGAATCTCCAAAGATGTTCGGAAACTGTCACTAGATGGAGCATTGAAAGCTGGACAGTCTAAATACACAGTTACATATTCATTTTCAACTATTCACTTATTCACTTACTGCATTACCAATTCCTTCCTTTACCTACTCACTGGCTCACACATTCATTCACTCATTAATTCTTTCATTTTTCTTCCAAAAAAAATTCTGGAAGATTCTTATGTTCAAACCACTATAAAAAAGCTAAACAAATAATTTTAAAAATCTCTTATACAGCCTTTCTCTTAAAAGGATAAGCAGTTTTATTGGAAGAGAAGGGACTCTAAGGTGAGGAACAGCATGAGGAGGACAGAACTCTGTTGATAAAACAACACCCGAGCCAGGGAGACAACACTCTATCGAAACACCCTCCTGGGGGTCAGTTATCACAGGACAGACTTACTCCATCATGATTCCCCCAAATTCAGACACTTTATAATCTCCACTGTACCTCTATATGATCTGTGGAATATTTACTTAAATGGACAAATATTTTTCTGAAGACTTAAAATCTCATCATATAAAAAGAAAAACTCTACCATGACATAAAAAAAGCAATAAACACAAACACACATTAAAATAAGTATGATAATGAAAAGTGCCATTGCACTCCAACAGTGCACTTCGTATTTTAGGAAAAACCAGGTGTTGACAATCAATAACGAGGTTTAAGCAGGAGACCTAATCTTCAGGGGGAAGTCTTTGAAAAGATTATTCTGAAGAGGTGGCAAGATGGTTCAGTGGGTCAAGGGGCTTGCTACCAAGCTTAAAGACCTGACTGAGTTCGATCACCAGGGCTCCCATGGTGTAGGAACGAACTGACAACTGACTCCCACATATTGTCCTCTGACCTCCACAAAATAAGTAAGCAAGTAACTAAATAAATGTAAAATTAAAAAAAATAAAAAAAAACCTTTTGAAAAAAGTGTTTGAGAAAGATCACTCTGGAGCAAGGTGAGAAATACACTGAGAGTCTCAGGCAGGGCAACCAGCTCAGAAGCTGCTTCAATTGTTTCCAGAGATGACCAGGGTCTCCAAAAAAAGGATGCTGGGACCCAGCCTCTGCCAAGCCTGTCCCAAGCCTTTCCGGACACGGGCTGGGCTATCTGAGCAGGACGAGCCAGCAGACTGGCTGATGCTAACATGCGTCACTGGGAGGTGAATATGCATTAACGAGTGCTGCTACCTCCTCTTCCCTGCCTCCTGCCTGAGAACAGACAGCCTGGCCTTGAGCTCCTGCAGCATGTGTAAGAAGAGGCCCCACCATGTCACACTTTCTGTCCCTGGTCCTGGGGCCGGAATGCTCCTCAGAGCCCTGCCATGAAATTAATAATTCTTCTAATAAAATCTCCTCATTCACCAGTAATTCTTCTTAGTGTCCTCTTGGATCACCAGCCATTCAAAATATAACAGGATCTGACTAGTTAGGGAGGTGGGAGCCGTGGAGAGGAGAAGAACACATGGGGAGCAGACAATGGAGAATGGTTCATTTTCCCAAGACTCTGAACTTGAAAAATCCTCTGCACAACCTGCCACCTCTGCAGACACAATCTACAGAGAACTGATATTAGACATTGAGTCGCCACTGAGGCAGATATACCTAGAGACAGGGCAGGCTGACTGCATCAGACCTGACACGTTCAATGAAAGGTCAACTGTCACTAATATAGCTATTACTAACTAGCCTTTGAGTTTATATCAGTTCAAGTCAATATTCCAGAGGTGATTTCCACAGTCTTCTACAGATGTGACAAAAGGACAGATGTTTAAACAGATTAAGTTACCCCAGGGACGTGCACAATTCCAAGACAGGGGTGAGGAAGAGCGGCAACATCCGTGCCCTCCACCCACACCCCAGCTACGTGTCTACCAGTCAATCATAAGTCTTTTCCCTAGTCCAGCCCAACTTCCCCCTTTTTCTTACCTTGGCTTATTCTGAGGCAAGGCTTTTGCATCAACTGCAAACATTTTGGAAACAAAGATAATAACTGGAGCAGTATCTTCACTTCCACATTTCATAAAAGCTAAATAAACAGGAAGCAAAATGTCACTGCTTTCCCCAAGATTAAAAACCTAAAAACTGTTGTGAACAGCAATTACATTTAGAATACAGCATCATTTAAACATGTTAACTCCGTACAGTTGTGACAAGGCACGAGTTGGAAGATGCAGAAAAAGAAGCAAAGCTGAAGGGTGGGAGCTGGGAGGCTCTGCCCAGAGGCACAGCTGGTGACAGGGCCGGCCACCTACACCTAATCAACGATTCTCTGTATCCACGGGGAAGGTATAGACCAAAGGACTGCTACTGGATCAAAAGCCAACGATGGACTTTCTAATCCCTTATAACGTCAAGCTAAAGCATGTGTCATCAGGGCGAGAGAGATGGTTCATCAGTGAAGAGCACGGACTGCTTTTCTAGAGGACCCAGGTTCAATTCCCAGCACCCACATGCAGCTCACGACCATCTGTAACTCTAGTTCCCATTTCTTCTTCCATGGGCATCAAGCAAGCATGTGGTCCACAGACATGCATGCAGGCAAAACACTCATATGCAAATAATGATAATGATACTAAAATTTAAAAATAATGTATCAAGATAGTAACAGAACTCATAAATAAAGATTCAGTGCCATAAAGAAGTCAACTTTCTTTAAGTATACAAAGTTTAACACAATTCCATATCTATCAATATATGTCAGAACCTCAGAGATACTGATCTTTTTCAGAATCTAAACACAGGCATAAAACCACTAATTATCAGTTTTTAGAAAACTCATTACCTCATCAAAATAATTTCTACAAAGAATAAAACATAAAAAAAAAAACATAAAAAAATCAAACAAACCAGGTGGTGGTGGTCCCAGCACTAAGGAGGCAGAGGCAGAGAGCTCTCTTATGAGTTTGAGGCCAGCCTGGTCTACAGAGTGAGTTCCGGGACAGCTAGGGAAACCATGCCTCAAAAAACCAAAATAGATGGATAGATGATAGGCAGATAGGTAGGTAGGTAGGGAGATAGATAGATAGATAGATAGACAGACAGACAGACAGAGATAGACAGACAGAGAGACAGACAATAAATTTAAAAAATGAAGTAATAAGATATAATAAGAAAACCTCAGGAAGCAAGAACTGAACAGTTTTGAGCATGTTATTAGCATTACTCTGACTGCATCTAGAGAACACAGAATTGAGAGCAGGTGAGAGATAATGATTGCTTGGCCCAGAGAAGCAGGTGGAAACACCGGGCAGTAGTTGGATTCTGATATATTTTAAATGATATTTTAATCATTTTTAATGATTTATGATTTTAATGATATATTTTAAATACCAACCCACAGTATTTTCCAGTAGAGTGGGTTCAGGGGTGTGAGGTCAACGTAAGACCATAAATGACTCCAGGGTCTTTGGACTCAGCAGACGAAAGGGTAGACACAGCTCTCATTACAGCAGGAATAATTAGAAGAGGCAGGTTTGGGAGTCTGGGATATGTCAGGATATGCTTCTGAAGCAGAGCAGAGTGGAGGCAGGGGACGGGGGTGGTAAGCAATCTATGCGAGTCTAGTAAGTCTGGAGTTCACAGAGCACCTGTGCACGCAGCTACAAACGGGGAAACTAGGAGCACATGGCTGTCACGTAAAGTCAGAAGGACAGGTGAGCTCACCAAGACTGCAGGTAAAATGAGGTGTAAGGAAGGGACCCTTTGTGTGACATCAAAGTCCAAATGCCAGGGACAACGCGACACAGGAGTAGCGGCATGTGGAAGTCAGGGGAGACCAGGTTCAGAGGAGGAAGTTGTCAACTATGTCAAACGCTAGTGACAGATGAGGTCGGATGAGGATGGGAATCTGGCCATCTGAGTGACAAAGCGAGTCAGCAGTGGGCCCAGCTACAGCAGTCTGTGGGCTGGGGCTGCAGGGGTTACAAGTTTCCGTATAATGAGAAGAACTGGAGACAACGAACACAGAGGGGCTCCACGGTGCCCAGAGCCTGGAGTGCTAGTGGCCCTCATAGGCAGAGTGTGTACCAGCAGTTCTTAAGCATCAGTACAATCCCAGGAACCACTCTTTCAGTCCCTAAGAAAAGCCACGGCAGTGGCTTCACAGCTCAGGGAACACATGCTTGGCTCTTTAGGAAGACGGAGCAAAGTGGGAATATGAAATGAGATCCGCACAGCAAGCAGGAAGGAGTGTGGGTCAGTGGCTGCTACCCAGAGGGCTTAGCAATATGCAATAAGAGGAAAGCTTTGGGGAGGGGACAGGCTCAATTCTAGAAGTGGTTATTTGTGGAAGTGAACGTGTGACAAACTGGCCTGTCTGTAAACTAGTGTTCAGCAAACTGGGGCAGCCTGGACCGAGGACAGTCAAGGGTGTGGTTCACTGCAGTGTGCCCACTGTGCATTGGTCCTTACCTGCTTTCAGGGCCTGGGTTTCCAGAGGAAGAGACTCAAAGGTCTGTGATCCTGTGCACAGCAGTTTCTCCACTCGCTCAGATGTCATGTCAAGAGGACTGGGCAGTTTCTGACACACCATAGCTGAGGCCTGTCGTTAAGGATTCTGTACTTGCAGAGAGACTGCGCTGAAATAATCAGGCATGTTTATACAGAAATGCCCGGGCTGTAAGGCACACTGCTTTCTGACTCACGACTCAAAATCTGCCCATGCTCCTAGGATGTCCACTGACTCTGAATATCTACTTTCATAATCCTAGTGAAAAGTTTTATCTAATCATATACTTTATCAACTATATTACTGTTATTGCATTTTTACTTTAGAAAACAAATATTGTTTTGAAAAGAATACTTCATAGATTAACCAAGAGCAGCAATATTAATTTTTCTAGTATTTAATACTGCTTCAAGATAAAACACAAAGTAAACAGAAAAGACTTACATTGGATCGGAATGGGTTATTTCCAGAGGGTTATCTGATTGCCAATGAAATACTATTTTCATCTCTTTTTTATAAAATCCAGCTTAATTAAAATAAAGGATACCGAGAACAGCGTGGGATATGGGGAGCCACTGGCTGCAAATGGCATTGATCTGGACTTTAGGATCTGAATGTCGTGCCTCCCGGGCTCCAATTTTTAATCCTAAAGAAGTCACAATTTTATCAATTTTTTCTTTGTCCCTGTGGGAAAGGGGAAAGAGAGAAGGCATAAACAGATACGCATAAGCAGCAAGAAAAATCAGTTTAATTTCATTTGGCACCTGTTTTCTCCTTTTCAGAAGAGAGTAAAAATAAGGAGAGGGCCCTGATAAGCTGGCGACTCCCCAAGCTTTATGCTAACACTTTCAGACTCCTCCAGAACCGTGCACAGAGACCGGTCTACAACTCACTGAAACAAGCGATGTCTATCTACCATAGCAGTTTTACAAACAAATCCTAACGCCCTGATTCTGCCCACAGGTTATCAGTTTACAAGGACAGCTTTCTTTTGCACTTGTACCAGGCGAGTTTTTCCCAAGTTCCCGATCTGGTCTCTCCCACCACCGACTGCTTCTTTAAACCGAGCTTACAGAAAACAAGGCCCAGCGCTCATCACCCCAGCAGGCCACGACACACTGCTGTTGCAGCCCTTCATCCCCCTTCTTGAGCTACGTGTACTCCTCTAAATTGTTTCCAAGCTCTTTAACTAACTTATCTGTGAAGTCCACTGTCCTGGTCAAGCTCAGTTAAGAGACCACCAGACTGGGAAGTGGGCAAATGACCCCACCCCAAGATAAACAATTTTACAACAGCCTTACTTTTTTAAGACCGCATCATACAGACTCCAAATGTTTTCCAGGATCAACTGAACAAATAAGGGCTTCTTTCCTTTGGCCTGCACAGAAGAACATGTCGGTTTCAGTTCCTGAACATTTACTCAGTCCCCCTCATCCCAGCACTGTCAGTGCGGCTGATTTATGCTAGAGTACTTATTCATGGTAGAGATGAAAGGCATGCTTGAAATAGCCAATAATTCATAATCAGTAAGCCACCCATTCTCTTCCTCTAGGAACCAGAGGGGGGTTGAAATAATGTGAGCATTTGGAGGGGCTGCCCCACAACTACCATAGAAAACCACAACATCCGAGCTGCAAGCTGACTTCACTCAGTGTGTGGGGGCTGTCTTCACAGGCTTGCCTTTCCTGTGTTCATGTTTCTTGTGTTCTTAAACATGAGAAACCGTTCATAAGAACAGGACATTCTTTTAATTGCAGACTTTATTTGTTCCATGGAGACAGACACACATAATATTTACAGCAATTCATATGTGGACAATTAAAAGCATTTTCCAGCAAGCTTGACAAGCAGTTCAAGTCCTGGAATTTACATGGTAAAATGAGAAAATCAACTCCTTCAAGGAAAAAAACTTTTTTTTTGTCCATTCACTTTATTCTGAGTCAGTTTTCTCTCTACACAACTTCTTTTCTGCTCTCATTCTTAGCTCCTTTTCTGCCTGATATTTCTATCTTTTTTTCCTCAGTGATTTTTTTAATTATTATTGTTTTTTAAATTTTATAATTAATTTAATTTTACATATCAGCCACAGATTCCCCTATCCTCCCTCCACCCACTCCCCGCCCCTGCCCTCCCCCCAATCCATCCCCCATTCCCACCTCCTCCAGGGCAAGGGAGGAGGAATCTCCCCTGGGGATTCAGCTCAGCTAGGTAGATTCAGTTGAAGCAGGTCCAGTCCCCTCCTCCCTTCACCTAGGCTGAGCAAAGTGTCCCAGCATAGGCCCCAGGCTCCAAAAAGCCAGCTCATGCACTAAGGAAAGGTCCCAGTCCCATTGCCTGGGGATCTCCCAAACAGTTCAAACTAATCGACTGTCTCACTTATCCAGAGGGCCTGATCCAGTTGGGGACTCCTCAGCTATTTGTTCATAGTTCATGTGTTTCCACTAGTTTGGCTATTTGTCCCTGTGCTTTTTCCAATCATGGTCTTAACATCTCGCTCATACAATCTCTCCTCTCTCTCGCTGATTGAACTCCTGGAGCTCCACCTGGGGCCTGGCTGTGGATCTCTGCATCCGCTTCCATCAGTCATTGGATGAGAGTTCTATCACAACAGTTAGGGTGTTCGGCCATCCGATCACCAGAGTAGGTCAGTTCGGGCTTTCTCTCGACCATTGCCAGTAGTCTATTGTGGAGGTATCTTGTGGATTTCTGGGGACCTCTCTAGCACTTTGCTTCTTCCTATTTCCATGGGGTCTTCATTTATCATGGTCTCTCTTTCCTTGTTCTCCCTCTCTGTTCTTGATCCAGCTGGGATCTCCCGCTCCCCTAAGCTCTCTTTCCCCCGAACCTTGCCCTTCATTACCGCCCCCTCACATCCAGTTTGCTAGTCTGTTTTTTAAAAATCAAATCACATAAAAAATTAATAGTTTGAGTAGTGAGAACCTTGGGTTGTATGAATGCCATTGCATAAACATGAGATGGAACATATATCAAATGCCTCCTTCCTGAAGAGCCATTGGCAATATTATTATTATTAATTGATGCCAATTAAGAGCCATTGCCTTCAATGTCCAGTTTAAAGAAAGTCATCAAAAGAAATTTACACACAAATGTGACTTTCACGGCTTTACTTACATTATGAAAACATATAAAAAAAATTAGGATGTCTAATCTTAGAAGAATACAAAGGCAAAAATGTGAGTCTTCCAAGTGCCCAGGATCTAAGATTTAGAGTACTCAGAAAACAAAGACAGTTTTCTATTCACTTAATGTAATTTACTTAATTTAGAGACAGTATCACTATTTCTCAGGCTGGTCTTAAATGCCTAGGAACTGACCCTCCCAGGTAGGTGGGGCATTACACATATACAACTGTACTCAGCTTGCTCACCATACTTAAAACTGAAACTCCACATAGATAATGCTTGGACATAAGACTCATGTACTTTTTCCAACTCTGTGCCATATAAAGTCCCCTGTGAACTCATCCGCATACCTAAGGCTGAGGTGCCTCTAGTAAAGCGGTAGAGTAGAAGTTTTCTATAGCCAACAACCAACGCAACACAGACCACACTACCTGATCAACTTTCATAATCTTCTTAGCCTTCATATTTATATAATAATCTCCCCACAGGGTCTTCAAAAGAACTTCCTTCTTGATGCCAATTTTTTGACTATAGATTCTGGCAAAGTGCTCAATGCTGAAAGAAAACCAATAGTGCATGTTACAACAATAACAATGAATACAGCTAACACTTCACTGTTTCTTTGCCATATACCGTTCAAAATGCTTTCTACACACTATCGACCTAATATCTTCAGCTGTCCTAAAAGTTTTCTCATTTTATAGAAAAAGATAATGATACAAAGATATTACACCAGCAGTGAGTGAGATTCAAAGACAAGCAGGGTGACTGACATTCAGGCCCGTGTCACTGTCCAACATGCTATACACGGGCATGAATTGGAATGTAGGCTGCAGCTCCCATGTGAAATTTGACAAAAGGTAAGGATGCCAAGGAAGCAAAGGTGCCAGGTGTCCATCATAACTCTACTAATTACAGAAATTATTTTTGGTTTTCACTGCTATAAGTGCTGTTATTCACAAGGGAAATGAACTCTAGAGCCCCAATCTGCCAAAACTAGAGCTGTAGCATCCTGGAATATCAGTGACAGATACACATTTACTCAGTTCTCATCAACCCACAGAGAAACCAGCTAGCACCAGTATCCATCCATAGGAGAGGAGTCAACCAGCACCGGGGTGTAGGGCAGCCTCCAGTTAAAGGGCTCCACCTTCCTGGACGAAACAGTACTCATCATTAAAAGCTTGTCTAGTGCTCGCAAAGTACTAGCATCTTAGAAGACGCTGCTCAGAAGCAAGACAAGAAGACCTCCTCTACACACCTCTTCAATACAACACCAGAACACAACCACAGTGCTGAGAAAGGTGAACTATCCTTGGCTGAAGGTGACACGGTCATCCAAGCAGAAAACTTCAAAGAACCAGCAAGACCGTGAGTGGAGCTAATACCAACTAAAGCAAGACTGCGTGCAAAGAAGGCAGGAGCAGTCAGTGCTTCCCAACATGCCAGCAGTCTCAGCACAGAAGACAGGCGGGCGGCAAGGAAGTCTCTAAACCTACTCCGCAGCCTGCTATCGGGAAAGTGTAGTGCTGTGTGTCTATCCATACGGCCCAAATCCAGAACACTGACACCATGAAATGCTGACATGGGTGTAGAACAACAGTTACTCCATTCATTCCTGGTAGGAAAGCAATAGTACAGTCTCTTTGGAAGACAGTATGGTGATTTCTCAAATGTCTAGACATGCTCACTTGGGATGCAGCAATGGTATTTAAGTAGTCACATAAACTGAAAGCATATGTCCATGAAAATATATGCACATGGATGTTTATAGCAGTTCAATTCACAATTTCCAAAATTTGAGGAAAGCAAGCAAAGTGTTCTTTAAGCAAGTCAACAGACGAACTGTGGTACAACCAGAGGCGGGATGATGACTCAGCACTAAGCAGAAATACATGGAGGCAATGTGTTTGCTGCTAACTGAACGAGGAGGCCGACCAGCAAGAGCCACACACAGCTGACTTGACTATGCGGCAGTTTAGAAAAGTCTAAACTATGTAAATACCAGGCTGCCAGTGGTTGGAGGGAGGTAGGAATGGATAGGCTGAGCTACTACGTAAACCTCATTTTCTATTTGATCCAACAGTTACGTATTCAGCAGAGGTATTCTTTTATGTTTTTTAAATTTTCAAAAAGGTTAGTTTCTTTAAAAATCTGTATTATTATTTACTGTTAGTTTCTAGAGAAGTCAAACTATTCCATATGGTATGATAATGTAGGCACAGCACCGAAAGTGAGCCCCACAGCATCTTTGGGTGCTGAAGAAGTGTCAGGGTGTGTTTACCAATCACAAAATGAACTACATCAGTGAGGGATAATGGTCACAGTAAATCTAAGTATGCATGAGAGTGTTTGTGAAATTTGTACTTTCCTCTCAATTTTGTTATGAACCTACATCTGCAGGGCTTTTTTGTTTGTTTGTTTACATTTTAAATTCGTTTTAAAAAAGAAAGACAGGAGGACTCCGAAGCCTGCCCTTCTCCTCACTGAGGAAGGAATCTAAAGTCAGCATACTGCAGACAGTTTTTTGTTTCTGTCTTTCAAGACAGGGTTTCTCTGTGGAGCCCTGGCTGTCCTGGAACACTCACTC